GGAATGTCTGTGGTTTGGGGGTTTTTGTGCTGAAATATGCTTTTAAAAATACTCTGGAATGGGAACGCAGTCACACAACTGGATTAGCAATTGAAGAGGCGATCTTCACCTGGGAAAATGCACATTAGGCAGCGGATGGTGTACCTTGGCCATCTCGCTTCTCACTGTTTCCTTTCTGGTTTGAATGCCAGCATTATGCCACTCGAATCCAATCAGCGAATCCATTTGTTTTGACCTTTGGAGAGAATAGTGGGGCCTTTTAACTGAAGTTTAAGAAGCAGCTCTTGGAAAAGTGAATTTCACAGTGCCCTGCATTAAATGTCAGGGTTGTGGCAGCAAGAGATGTACCATCTGTTTAAGCAGGCTTGGTTCGGAGATGTGGTTTTGAGAGCAAACTTCTGCAGAGGTCATCAGCAAATGAGCCAGCACGTCATGAGGGCCGGATGCCGGGAAAGCGTCTTGCGTTCGGGAGAAGGACTGATCGTAGCGTCTCGGATAACGTGGGTTATGAAGGTCCGCGTGTGTGCAGAGCAACTGCCCAACTTCAGACCGATGGGACTTCTAGTTGAGATGAAGACAAAGCAAAGGGAATGAACACAAGTAAGTCAGACTAAAAAGGTGTCCCTGAAACAGGTGACAACAGGTCTGAAAACAAATTGGCTGCTGGTTTAGAAGCGTAACCATGCAGGACCCGGGTGGACAAGCAGTCGATACACCCTGCAGTATAAGGCAGCAGAGCTTTACTGCAGTAACTGCCCATGCCCGCACTCCCGCCGCACGGTGGGTGGAAGTCGATGGCAACTCGCTGCAGGACCATATCTGCCGCCAAGCCTGCTAGCGTCCCAAAACATGCAGGCAGCACACTTTGGGAGCTCTCCGTTTTCCCTGTCCTTCTCCCAGAGCAGTTTGTGGGGAGGCATTTGCATTTTTCTAATTTGATTTCTGCACGCTCTCCCATGGGGCAGGCTGGCGACTGGAAAAAACCCGAATACCCAACCGGGTATCTTAGCGACATCCAAGGATCACTGTAAATGTTCCTCCACCTGACTGCAGAGATTCGCTCTCCCTTTGACATTTAAGTACCTGCTAATGAGCCCCACCAGTCTTTGGGTTTTAAAGATGACGGAAGGCGGAATCCAATGAATACAAAATTACAGGCGAGATTCACAAAAGGCTTGCAAAGCCAGGAGAAGATCAAAAACCTATTTCTGACTCATTAGAGAGGCACTCGGCTTTCACTGATGCCTCTTCCTTTCTCCCTGGCTCTTTTTTCCCCTTCTTTGTCGGGGTGTGTTACACTTAATCCAACTGTCCAAAGCACTTAATAAGGAGACACCTCTTCCATTCACAGTGTAGGCTCCATCTGCAAAGCGGGTCATTGTTCTCATGAAGGGGCTTTCCAGCCAGTGAAGGGACCCACCAACATCACCTCGCGCAGGGACGGGGGAACAAGCTACTTCCCGGAGACCGGGACACCAGCTCAAGGCATAAGCAGGTTTCTGGGCAAGGCCTGGTAGTTGCAGCAAGTAACAAGAAGGCAGGAGTCCTGGGTGTCTAGCACAGTCTCTGCCCCTGATTTCCTGTGCGGCTTTGGTTGAGTCACTTAAATCTCCCCGGGCCTGTCCCTGGTATAAACAGGGCACAGAGCCACGGTCCCTGTTAGGGACAGCAGTGGAGTGTCACAGGGATGGCATCCCTTAAGCAGCCTTCCAGCACCAAACGAGGACTATCAAACCCAAGTGAGTAGGTAACACAAAGCATCACTAACAACTCCCAGGTCCTCAGTCCTGGTGTCTGAGTTTATTTTCTACCGCCCTCGGGGACCTGGGACAGAAGTTCAATAAACCAATTTAACCTCAATCAGTTCAGTCTGCTGCATCCATCCGGGTTTATCTTAAATTGGTTTTGCCCACTTTGAAAGCAGTTTATATGCACTGAACTTCTGTTGTGTTACAGATTTTAACCAGTTTCTGATTAATTATACCAGTTCATGTGTAATTTCTGTCCCTACTGAAAGACAGTTATGGAGAAGGCGGCTGTTGATTTGCAGGTGATTACAAGCGCACCAGAACTAGGGGATTCACAAGTAATGGCAAGGGGCTAACTTTCTATGAATCAATCAGCCAGCTTTCTGTTACTTTGGTCGCCCGCCGGGTCCATGCAGTGCCTGGGTTCGAGATGCACGGTACAGCGCTCCAATGTCTCTTGATATGCATCAATCATGCATGCATGGCTGACTTCAGGCTCTCTGAATCAGAAGAGGAGGCCCCCCCCGTTCCAGTACATTGTTAGTTGCAAGTTGCTCGTCCCCGGTTATTATTTTACTACTAAGATGTTCGGTGCTTTGTACCCTCAAAGGTCCCCTTTTTTTCGGCAAGCAACAAAGGAGTCCCTTTTCCAGAGAGCTGATAACCTTAGGGCTATGTTCCCGGATCGGCACGGTTGGCAGTGTCGCCTCAGAAGCCTGTTGCTCCTGTTCTGGCTTTGATGCTTGCCTGAGACGCTGGGCAGATTGCGGGATTGTTAACCCAGGTCTATGCTGGGCCAGCTGCACTGATCGCCAGGCCCAGGTTGGCTTGCATTTGCTGCATAGACAGGACCCCAGGGCCAGGGAGCAATTGGAGACACTGGAGCTCTATCCTGCACATCCCTGGAAAAGCATAAATGGGCTGGAAGATGGAGAGTCTTGGGGCTCTTGATGACCAAGGGGCCTGATGGAGAACAGGCCACCTGCACCATCATTAGACAAGGGATAACTTGGGCAAAGTATTCCCCATCAGAGAACGCGGGTCCGTTTGTCTCTGGTGCTCAGCTAGGCACATCAGAGAGGACACAGCAAGGGAGTCATTGATGCTGTTGTAGCTGGAGTGTCTCAGAGGAGCCCTTGACTTTCCCCACGTGAGCTGCACCCACGCTGTGGGCGCTCAGCGCAGACCTGGCGTGGTGGACTCAGCTGCCATCTCCGC